CCTGGAAGATTTATACAGAATTCCAGAAGTTGATGAAGAACAAGGGATTCGATGGTACTGCAGGTTTTGAGCAGGTAGAATCGTGGATCACCGAGGTAGAGCGGGGATTTCACCTACTGCATGTTTCTGATGACCTTAAGGTCAATGTAGGCACTTACATGCTTTCTGGGAAGGCATTAACTTGGTGGGTGAGTTATATGAAGCTACACCAAGGGGAGCCTGAACTGAGCACCTGGGAGGGTTTCAAGAAGGTGTTCATGCGGGAGTTCATACCGGACAGCAAGAGGCGAGAACTGCAAAGGAAATTTACAGATCTAAAACAAGGGTCAAGTACTGTTGAGCAGTACAAGGAGGAGTTTGACCGCTATCTGCCTTTTGTGGGTAGCCAAGTCGACGATGAGCAAGCCAAGGCCGACAAATTTCTGTGGGGCTTAAATTCTGACATTTATTTGGCGGTAAACCAATTTGAACCCGCCACTTATCGAGAGGCTGTGGACAGAGCTATAAATCAGGAGAAGGCTATGGCTAGGGTCAAGTCCTCAGGGCAGCCTAGTGGTGGGTCATCCCTTGGGAAGAGGAAATTTGATGGGAGCCGTCGGTCCCTTTTCCTTGCACCGCCTAGGTCTGAAATCAGCAAGGGTTCTAGATGGTCAGGAGCCACCAAGACAGCGAGTCAGGCATCAACGGCCCAGCGTGCTCATCCTACTCAGCTTGTTTGCCATGGTTGTGGGAAGGTCGGGCACACCCGGGATCAATGCCACGCTGCTACTGGGGCTTGTTTCAAATGTGGCAAGCAGGGACACCGAATTGCAAATTGCCCACTGCTAGACCCCAAAGCCCAGAGTACTCAGCCTACCTCCCCGCAGAGTTCTACCAGTCAGGGGGCGCAGAAACAGAGTACCGGGGTTCGGACAAGAGCCCAGCAGGCGAGAGTGCAAGTGATGACTCATAAGGAAGCTGCGGCCACCGACGTAATCACGGGTACCTTGCCTGTTAACTCTGATTATGCGCATGTTTTATTTGATTCGGGTGCGTCGCACTCTTTTATTGCTCGATCTTATGTTT